AAGGTCTTGTTCTGTCAGGAGATATATTAAGCTGCTTAAAACAGACAGGACAAATGCTTTTGGCAGAAACACAGGTTTGTGGGAGATTTTCACCTTGCGGAGGTACATTTTCCAGCTGTGAAACAGCTGTGCCCAGACAGCTCGGATACATGTGATCATGTTGTTGACTATTTCAGCAATTGTCTGTACTGTACCATCCTTTGTGGTGTTTCTCCTCTGCATAACTAAATCACTGCCTTGGGTTGCAGAGTGATGCAAGGATGCAGTTTACTACTGATCCTTTGCATGGTTTCTGTGCATATTGCCTGTGGTGACTACATAAGAATAATTGTTCAAAGGTTTGGTGGGTTTTGGTGAGTTTTTTTTAATTAAGTGGGCATATGTGGCTTGCTGTCAAAAGCTGGGGCACAGTCTTCTCCCCAGTGCAGTAACACATGTCCAAAGAGGCTAGAGATGAGTTTGAGCCCAGACAGCGTCATGGGCTGGTGTGGGTAGGACACACTAGCTGCTGGCCATGGCCAGCTGCCTTGGGCAATCCAGGCCATGTTCTCAACTGCTCAGTTACAGCTGCGTTGACTGGCCCATCCTCTGTCACCAGTCCGTGCTAAGGTTCAGACCCATGGGAGCTGCCACAACTAACATCAACGGCGACACTTTCACAGGTCTGCCCTCAAACTTCCACAGTCACCTGCAAGACTCAAAAATCAATTTCTGGAAGTCAAGGGGCAAATCCCAACTGACCAGTTGAACAACTCTTTTTCTAACAAGGTTTTAATGCACACCAATTCTTTGCTAGCTCTCCACAACATCCTGAACCGAGACGTGCTTTAGTAGAAATTGTGAGTCAGCCTGGCAACATTATAACTTGAACATGGGTATATGATTGTATTTCTCCAAGGCTGGGCAGAAGACCTAGGCAATCATTTTCAGGACCTTGCTCAGAAACAGGTCCAACTTCCTTTAATTACAAAGTAAAAGTAACAAAGAATCCACCGACAAATTTGCATACAAATATCCTCTTTCCTTAAACCACGACAGGGCTAAGATTAAGTATATAACAAATTAAACTCTATCTCTAGGGAAACAGAAACCTCCAGTGTGCATCCTGCACAGTTTGTCCATCTAATTTTTCTTTTATAAATTTAGTCATTACCATATTTCATTAGTAACAGACCTCTTGTGGTTTGGGTTTAGGACTGTTAAAAGGCTGGCAGTAGTTGAGTCATTTGTATAGAAGAGTGCTGATAAACTACGCTGGACTTCCTATATCAATTTAATCAGCATAGCCTTTAAAGTTCAATGCTTAGTGTCATTATAATAGTCAAAGTTGAGTTTATATATAAAGTCCGATAAAAATATTTTATGCAGCTTTCTGTTGCATGCTCTCTATAATATGCACTCTGTAATATGCTAGTCTGAGCCTGCCTGGATCATTCTTTGACTTCTCATGAGTAATTTGGAAAAATAAGCAACAAGAATTGCAGACTCTACCCTGTCTTCTCCAGATTAAAGAACATAAAACCTTAATTGCTGCTTCTGATCTGACTAATGCTCTCCCTATTCCAGTGCGGTATTTCATGTGGCAGCCAGAAACATATGCTTTGAGAAACCACACAGGAAAGTAAGAAAGAATGACTTGTGCAGGGAAGACATTTTCTTTTATTCTACTATTATTTTATGGTGGCAATAACCTGAAGTACGAAGGCTTACATTTTGTTTTTAAGATGCTTTGTAATACAGCTAAACACTGGCATTTCCTCAATAAACAGCTCATCCTTTTCCATATTCCTCCAACCTTTTGGCTTCAGTAATAATGTCTGATAATGACTTTCACTGGTGAAAGGGATGAAGGATTTCCTTTAACCCAACTCTACGTGGCCATCTTTCTGTTTCCCTTCCGATTGTTATGTTTCATTGGGTGAAAAGATAACTAAGTGTGTCTGGGTTTCCCTTCTTGGACCATTCATTATTTTGTGTATCACTAATACATCTGCAGCTTGTCCCCCAGCATTGGGGAGTTGAAATATTTTCATTAGCAAGAGGCAGCAGGCTTGTACAGCAGAAAAAAGAGAGAGAGGTATCTACTCTGACAGCCAGCATTCTCCTGCTCCTCCTTACCCAGGAGTTCAAGCCACTGACTGAGGTGTGCTCAGATGTAGCTCCTGGGTCCTGTGCAGCCTGAGGGGGAAGATGACTGAATTGTTGCCACGAGATCTGTAAAAAAACTTGGGCACACAGGGGGGACACCTCGTTCCTTCTCACGTTCATTTTCCTGCTCTCCACAGCAGTAAAGTAAACAGACTGTCCACTACAGACAGCTGTAAAACCTTTATTGCTAAAATTGCCTCCTTGTTTCCTCTTTAATCAGAATTCAGAAAAAAAATATACTTTGCCTAACAGGGAGAGAGAGAGAAGAGATAGAAAAATCTGCCTATACGGGGCAATAGTTCATAAACTTTAACTCATCATCAATGCTAAAAAAAGTAGTTTGGGAAAGATGCCCCAGATAGCGCAAATCTACCCTGAACTATTGAGTTAAACTTGACTTTTTTCCCCTTTTGTAGGGTTCTTTTGTCCTCTTGATGAACAAGTGTTCTTGCTTTTATTAATGTCTTCTATGCTAAAAGAAAAAAGCAAGAAAAATGCAGAGACCGTGCCAGGTGGGAAGGCAACCGTAGATGGGGAGAATGAAGGATGTTGAGTTAGCTTAACTATACATTTTCCATACATTCTGACTTTTTCTAACAGTAATACTGACTTCAAATATCAAAGTATTCTAAAATATTTACAGACTTCTGTTAGTTTAATTTCAAGGAGCAAAATAGTTTAAGATTGGGGGTTTGTTTCTATAGAGAACAAACACTTAGAGTCATAAACTTACCTTGAGTTTTTTGAAGGGGGATAGAGGGTATGGGGTTTTGCTTGATACTTTCTTCGGTTTTATTAAAAACATTTAGGATTTCTTACTAGTAAATTTAATGTCATCGGTGATTTGCTCCAATGGTATCTCTGTAGAGGGCAACAAACTAAACCCTGCCAGTTCTGTGGGTTTTTTAAAATATGCTAAATTGTGTGCGCCAGTTCAAAACCTGGCCAAGGTTTAGGAGCCTTGGTCAGCTACACCCCGAGATGGCTCACTGTTCAAAGTCCTCAGAGAAATCTGCTGTTATTTGCTGCTCAGTCACAACCATTTTTGTTCAGAAACATCATCTCCTTTTTCATCTAGTAGCTCATACTGTGTCAGGTGTGGGACTATAGAGTAAACTACAGTGATGTTTATAGTAACTAGCTGCCTATATCAATCCCAGTATTATAATTCACTAATACTGATTACAGAAAGTTGGGGGGTTAACGCAGAATGACTGTGTTTCCATTAAATCTATTTTTTCATTATTTTTTATACCATAAAAACAGAGTTTATCTTTGTAGTTTTCTATTTTTCTCCCCTTATCTAAAAGTATAGGGGGTTTATACCTAAATATTACTGGGGTGTTCACTGTCATTAAATCAGCTCTCTGGAACTATAAAGGGCCCCCAACAGGGAGCACAGGCGGCAAGTTAGTGCTCCACCAATGCAGAGATTTAAGGAGTGTGCCTGAGGGGATCTCTCTTGAGTTCAGTGAAGCTGAAAACAGACCCAGAATTAACAGTGTACGTACATCTTTCACCACATAGACAGCATCCAGACCGTTACATGCATGGATTCAGTTATAAATTGAACCCTCAATATAAATAAAGCTAGGGGGTTTTCTTACTTTTTCCTACAAATGTAAGGAACTCTCTTCACTGCATTAGGAAGTCTTGGGAGAACTGTCGTAGGATATTTGTAGAGGGGACCCTGTGGACTTCAGTAGAAACATCAGTGTATTTTTAATGCAGTGTATTGAGGTAAAGTAAGCTTAATATTTCCTCTTCTAAACTCCTTTATCAGAGCAATTTTATTTCAACTCTTGACTGTAAGCTGGAGGAAGGCAGGGACAAATTAAGCAATTGTAAGTCCTGACAATTCTTTTAGTATTTACGGACTTCTATGTAAGTCACTGGCTTGAGTACTTGTCTGCTTGAGTTAGAGTTCAGCAGAAAGTTCTGTGTTAATGGCATGCTCTTAGGAGCTACTGGAACTAATTTTGTTTTAGGTAATCTGCGATAGATATGATGCAGCTGCACTTCTGTGAAGGGTCTGAAATTATAGTGGTACTCATTTTCTCATCACCTGTTGATACAGCGGTTCCTGACACCTTTCCTTCCCTGCATTTTATCTCCACGGGTTACCACAGTTCACTGCTGATCTCTGGAACAAATGATGTGGAAAAGAAGACAACTCACTCATCGGTGGCAGAGGTCTGAATTTTTAGTGCATTATATAGTTTCTAAACGCTGGATGCTGTCTGTGAAAGACATAAGGTTGCTTCCTTGCGTCCTAAACACCGCACATTCCCTCTAGCAGAGCTGCCTCACATCATATATCAGCTGCTGGTTCTTTATCGCAGTACAGATGGAAGCAGCAGCAGTGGCTGGCAGTGCCAGTCCTACTCTCAGCACGTGCTGTCTTTCTCCCTCATGCCTGCATGCACCTTCTCTCGCACAGTTGTTGCTGTTTAAAATACCTTCTCAAATCTGAAACTGTGTTTTGTAAGACCAGAGCAGGAAATCCAAGTAATGCTCCAATATTTGGACTAGCTATCTCCTCCGTAATATATCCTGTTTTCCCCTTTTCATTACATATTCTGGGGTCTCTACAAAGCAGAGTTATTTTCCTCCTCTACATTGACAAGAAAGTGGATGTATCCCACCTAGTTGCCAGAGAAGCAAGATTTGGGGATTTTTTAAATTATTATTTTATTTCTGCATCAGGATAAGGGGACAGTTGGGCATTTCTAGGACTTTCTGTGGGATCTTTGTCCAGTCTCTTGTTAGGGCACTCTGGGCACAATCCTGCAGGGGCTAAGCCCAGGTGCAGAACTGGGGGCTGATAATGGTGTCCATCAACAGCCCCCAACATGGCAGGTGATGAACCAGAGCCAGGGGCCACCCAGGGGGCCCAACCAGGAGCAAAAGGGGATGAGACCAGGGACACAACTGGAGACAAGGTACAACATGCATTCAAGGGGTCCATCCGGGAAGCATGGCTGGAGACCGGCACTCCTGTTGTGCCACTGGGGCAGGGACTGATGGCCCCAGGCTGAGTTGAAATGGGGTTCTGGGCCATAGGCAGGGGTGTGGGGAGGCCCAAGGTGGGGCTCGGCAGGGCCAGTAAGGCCTGTTAGTGCCCCCGGGGCTCCTCTCCTCTAACTCTGGGTAGCACTATGGCCGTAACCAGCAGCAGGACCCAGTGGTCACAGTTCTGACTTGATAATACAAAATCTTGCATTTTATTCTTACCATTGAACACCACCCTGCTGCATGTTCATGAACATGTTTCTGTTTCTCCATCAATAAAAGGAGGATGACATGTCTCATTGGGAAGTTATAGGGCTTAGTTGCTTACTGAAACTTTGCATAATGAAAATGCTTTCTAAGCATTGTTAATTAGTCATTACATTATTTGTTGCTGAAGGAATGTAAAACACCTTGAAGGAAATCTTGGCCCTATTGAGAGAGCAGAAAAATCTCCTTTGCTTTTCCTAGAACAGAGATTTCTACTCTCATACCAACTGCATATATCAACAGAGAATCACTTTATGCTCTTGTCCTTGATTATGTCCTTGGAAGATCATAGAATCATAGAATCATTAAGGTTGGAAAAGACCTCTAAGATAATTGAGTCCAACCGTCAACCCAACACCACCATGCCCACTAAACCATGTCCCTAAGCGCCTCATCTACACGTTTTTTAAATACCTCCAGGGATGGTGACTCAACCACTTCCCTGGGCAGCCTGTTCCAATGTTTAACCACTCTTTCAGTAAAGAAATTTTTCCTCATGTCCAAGATGCTACATCAGTAAGTTTTTAGGCACATTAAATTTATGCATTAAAGCATTTTTCAAAATTCAATGGTTGCATCACTTTCAAAACAAAAGAAAAATCCTAACAAATACAATACACCCAACTGTGCACACATTTCTTCTCGGAGGAAGAGGATGAGCAAATAAACACATGGGGTATTTCACTTGCACTGCTGACAGCACAGTTGGAAGGTGCTCAGAAATCATTATGAGGATCTCAAGAGAACAACCTGATAGAACAGAAAAATGATGCACTAAAGAGCATTAGATTCCGACTGACCGCAGCAGACTTCAGATCAGGCAAACATTATTTGTGTCTTATACAGAGACTTAAAGGCAATGCTGACAAACACGTCATCTGAACCTGGGCATATCCATATGGAGAAAGTAGAGTGCCTAGGTCAGTATTTTATGAGTCTTCCTGACCATATCTGTACAAAAGATTAAACTTGTATGCCTTTAAAATAGCAACACTATATATATTTATAGTTTCTGATTGCTTGGTTATTTTAAGTACTCTTCTTAAGTAACATATTTATTACTGGAATATGTCCTCTAGCTTTCCACAAAAGAATATAAAGCACGAACTGGATTGCAATATAAAGTTATATATAATGTTAAAAATTAGTAGGATTAATAGAGTATAGCTCTGAATCTTGACACTCATCTGATCTGTCTTCAAAGCCAAGCCAAGACCATCTATGGCTACAGCATTCCCAACACAAAGCTATTTAACTGTTCTATGAAAAAATGCAGTAATGAACATCTCTAATGCCCTCCAGACAATCTCTTCTGCTGTCTGATTTTTCTTACTGTTCAGCAAGCTGCCTAACCTAAATTTCCTTTTGCTGTAATTTAAACATGTTACTTTATGCATCTCGCAGTGGATCCTGAGGAAAGTCTATTGCCTCCTTCTTTTCCTCACCTTTCTGCATATAAAAGACTGAGACTCCCTCTGCCTTCTCCTCACTAAACAATCAATTTTTTTCCCTGTCAGTCACACTTTCTAGATGTCTGATCATCCTCTGTTCTGTTGCAGGATCCTCCCCAGGGTTTTTCTTGGTACGTTTTAGAAGGACTTTGAACTGGGCCCTTTCTGCAGAGGCCCTGTGGAGGGTGAATGGGAGGATGACTCGTGCATCTAATACCCAGGTTTCTGCAGTACTGCCCACCACCTTGCAGCCACAAAGATGAGCTCATGGACGGCACTGAGTCACGTTCAGTTCAGTTTATTCATTGTCATACCCAGACTCCTTTCTGAGGAACTGTTACCTACTCAGTTATTTCTCCTCTTGTTCTTCTGCAGTTTGTCACAGTTGTGATGCTCTATGCTTGTTGGTACTGAATTGTGCTCTGTTGTCTGAATTCTGCCATAGTTGGTCAAAATCTTTTTAAGCTTATCTCCTAAAGTGCTTACAGCTTGGCATTGTCTGCAAATTGAAAAAAGATACAAGTCACAAGTGACTTGAAATACCAAATATTTCAACAATACTGGAGAACCCTAATCAATATATCTTCTGTGCTGGCTGTGAATCCTTGGCAACTATTATTTCATTACAACTATCCAGCTGGTTGTGCACTCACCTTCCTGCACTTTCAACCAAACCAGGTTTTCCTAGCTCATTTATGAGAACCTCATAATGCCAAAAGGCTTGCTAAGATGCAAAGAGATGGTATCTATTGCTTTTTCCCTGTCCACAAGGCCTCTTAGCCTGTCAGAGAAGGAAAATAAGATTAATTAATTATGGTTTGTCCTTGACAAGCCCATGGTGATTGTTGGTTATGACTATACAAATTTGAAGTGCTAATGGGGAGAATGCTTGATTATCTGTTCTTGGGTCTATTTTATTCTTAAATCTCACAATCTAGCCAGAAATTCTTTATATGGCCCTTCTGCTTTGTAAAGGCATAAACTGTGCTTGCTCTTTCCCCTGTCTTGTGAACTCAATCTGTTCTCAACAATTTTTCAAAGGTCATTGCTAACAAATCTGGTATCAGCTAAATTTGATGGAATTTGCCTATCAAAAAGAATTTATCTTACCCAAGAAATTCTCTAGCCTGTTCATGTCTTATTATAGCCCATGTTCCTACACCTTTTTGTTGTTAGTAACCTGTGATCAGATTAGGATGACTTCAAAGTGAGAACCAAAGCAATAAAAATCCATATTTCCCAGCATACTCTGTTATCAGCTTTCTTCTCTCCATTTTCCTGTCCGTCAGTTATCTTCCTAGTTCTGTAGAATAATCTTTTAGCCAGGCTGCGCTATTTCGTGCTGAGCAATCTTCTTTTCTGCAATTAGCCCTCTTCACTTCAAAGTGATATGATTTTGTTCAGATTTGTTTTAAAATACAGCTCTTGGCTACCTCTGTGTTCCTCTCATAGCTGATACTTGGCAATCCGCTTCTACTGAATCACTTGATACTATATTCTTGCCTTTAATTCACTTATTGCATTTCATAGCCAAGGCCTCAGTGTATGTGAATGTCTCTCTGTGCCATATGACACAGGAACGTGCGCATCAGACACTGGGCTCACGTTGCCACCTACTCCCGTCCCCCCAAGGCCTCCTGATTTAGCAGGTCATGTGAATCAGCTCACCACTCACGGCCCCTTTTAAAATTCAGCCTCTTGCAGCAATTCAGCTCCTCTTTGATCATCTAGCAATTTCACAGGGCCTGTCCCCAATTCCAGCTCTGCCATGCTAATAATCCTTGACTACAGTGCTCATTTGTAATAATCTCAAAATGATTGTTTTTAATTGATCTCAGTTTTTGCAGCAGAACAAACTGAAATGGATGTGCTAACATGTTCTATAATCTGAAAGAGCAGCGGTAACTTGTCTGATGGTGTGGGAGAGAGACAGAACAAAAAGGGGTAATCCACATTTTGTTTCATTTTCCTGCCACCACTTGGGGAAGAAATAGGTCCTGTTTACACAAACCCAGAGAAACTAATTGCAGCGTTCGTTGAATACTACAGTTTAATAGTCGGAAAACTGCATAGTTGGCATGGAGTGTGGCAGGTATATCCTACCCAGAGCTTTTCCACAGATTACTTTCACAGTCTGATCCTTTTCCCTTTTTCCTCTCTATAGATTATCAATTCTGTGGTATTGCTGATTCTGCTGAGCGCCCTGACTGATCCTGACCAGTATCACCTAACCAGTGCTGAATTTGGGGGTGAATTTGAATTTATGGATGATGCCAGTAAGTACAAACTGCCTAAATACTAGCACTCATTGCTCCAGCATTTATGTAACTGCCCTATCATTTCACTAATTATTGTCCTTTAATTATTGCTTCACCTTGGTATCTTACAGATGCATTTTTATTGTGAAAGGTGTATTCATGGCACAGTTCAAATTGGTTACCTAGTAGTAACCTTATCTGTTACCTACTAGTAGTCCATCTGCTCTGCTGTGTCCTGGCTTGGCAGGGGCAGAGCCAACCCTTGACATGGAGTTGTTATCCCTGAGCATGATGCTGAAAGCCCCAGGGGGATTTTGCAAGACACATGGAGATACGGAGTCTCTTGCATCTCCGCTTGCACTTGCACCATGTCCGCTAGTGCCTGCACATGCATAAGAACCCATACTGCTATTTATGTAACTGGCTGAATGTGTTCATTCATGTTGTACGTATTTACACCCCCCCGCATGTGCACGTGGCACGACTTGCGCAAACTCGTTGTGATAGATGCAAGTATGACTATTAACTGTATAGTCATAGGTGTATTAGTGATAACACAGGGCTGCTTCCTTCTCTCACCAAAGGATATCATAGAAAATCTTCAATACAGTTTCAGGGAAGGATGAGCCAGGCCATTTATGTCTCCTGCAAAAACCTCCTGCCCTTTGCAAATGCTTCTTTCTTCTGTGCCTGTTTCAAATTATTTGGTGATGTTTGGTTTGTTGATTTGCTTTAACTGTTTAATTCCTATCTAGAAAAGTTTTCCCTCAATGTGATTTTGATAAAAATGACTGTTTATTTTCATTTCTGCTCACAAGATGGTTACGTTCAACATTTCTCACAGCAATCTGAAACAAGGTCTCCTGCTAGTTACACTGGTGTCTTGCTGCTCAGAATCACACCCATCCACAGAAAAAGGCTCAAAGTCCTTTCCTCATTCCACCAGAAGTCAATAAAAATATCAGTAGGAAAAGGAGTAGCCGCACACGTGAGAAAAATAATTGCCCCCATGGTGTGTCAGAGCTGCTGGGTATCAGTTAAGGGATGCTTATTTCCACAAGTTCTTTAGTGCAGATATGCCTTGAGGACCTACATTTAATTAATAATAAGGGACAATTGCTACTTTATTGTGTCTTCATTGAAAAACCACCTACAGCTTCCAACTAAAAATCTTTTTATATAACTGGATTTAAGAAAGTAAGGACCGTAGTAGATACAGATGGGCTCCTAGCTGATTCTGACATATTAAAACTGACTGCCTTGTCCTAATTCTCAGAGATTAACCTTGGTAATGACTGTCTGTCAGTGTGGTTTTATATAGCCGACATCAGAGGCCTGCCAGTGCCCAAGGCTTTAAAATAGTAATTCTGTTTTGTAATGCAATAGCTGTCAGATCAAGTACATTGGGGATTTCCACCTACACTTGAAAATTGTATTTTCTATATTTTTCTATCAAGGCTTCTGAAGTGAACCCTGCAACACTGTAAAAGGATGAGGCCAAGCGACCTCATTTCCATTTGGTAAAGGGAACATTTCACAGGCAGTTAAATTACAAATGAACATTTGAATTAATGTCTCCTTTTATTCTTTGACTCCCTCCGGTTTAATGCCTTACTGAGTAAAGGCAGCTGAATCAAGCTACTGGCTTTTGTAGTTACTGGAAATAGCTGGCAGGAGATAATTTTTTTTTTCTTTTTTTCTTTAAGTATGACTGTATTTGTTCAAATCCGAGGAAATGTTTTCTTATGAGATAAAACATCAGACAAACTTCCACATGCTCTTCTCTTGTCCTACTTTTATTTGTCTTTTTTGAAGAAATATTTCCCAGGTTAGCTACATGTGTTGAAATTCTTAGATGTGAAACCATGAGTACAAACTACAGGAGGATACATCAATTTTTATGCTAATGAAGGTCCCAAAGTTGTTATCTATATGTACTTGTGTTGATAAATAATAATGATGATGGAAATACTAGTAGCCATTATTCTCATTACTACTTTTGATGCCCCTATCAATAGCAAACCAAAAAAGAATGCAGACACGGATTTTGCATGTAAAATTGTCACTCCCTTTCCCTCCCTCCTCAAATAGGCTCCTTCATAAAACAGCCGAAAATATCAACTGGAAATAAACTTATCAGCTGAGTCATAGTACTGGGATCATGGCTAATGTGAAGTTAATGACCAATTTCCCTTGACTTCCAAGAAACCAGGATTCCCCCAATATTTGTATTCATATTTATTTCTGGCTGTGCTCAGGCCTGGTTTACAGAGAATTTTCAATTTTCTGTTCCAGCAGTGGGAAAAGTTCCTTCAACGTGCAGAGCCAGAGCCAGTCTAGGGCAAACTGCTTGAAAATGCCAGTGCAGCACCAGTTCTTCTGTGAATGGCTGCTCAGCCTTAATTTCAGGATTTAGCATGGTTCCCAGGGCGTTTCCAGAGGTTCCAAAATGCCTGTTTGATTAAGCAGAGGAAGGATTTACCTGAGTACTTAGAAAAAGCTGTAGGTTATAGTTTTTCCCTTCTATTCTAGAAAAGGAAATAAGGGGGAAAATAATTTGCCAAGACTTGCCATGCAGCAGATGGATGTACTGGAAGACATCAGCATGTGTGGTTTGGCTGGCTCGCTGAGACGTACATTTGGGAGCTGGTGAAAACGCTGGGCTTCCTCCTATGCTGGATATTCAGCTGAGCCCATTTAGTCTCATCTTTCTTTTTATTATTTCCTTAGGGCCTGAGGGAGTTTATGAACTAGAAGCTGGACTAGGAAAATTAGAAACGTGTGAGCTGCCCAATGTAATACTGCTGCTGGTAAAAGACTAATAATGTCTGGGCAGGAGATGGAAAAGCCCTATAAATCATTTTGACTTCCCAGAGGGTTTCACCTGAGCCTCCTGCTTAGCTTCTCCAGATACACAGACCATGATCCTGACATGTCAAACAGCCCAAACAAGCAGTGAGTGTTGCTTGATTTTATTTATTGCCTTCAGAGTGTCACAGATGTGTACAATACTTCATAAGTCATATGACAGCTAGAACTGAAATCCTATGTATGCCCTGTAGAAATTGATGGGAACTTTGACACCGGTGTCAGCAACTCAGGCCAAAATCAGCCTGTGTCCCTGCCCTGGGACAGGCAGAGGAGACAAGCAGAGGTCTCAAGGCAGGGCAGGGTAATGAGATGGTCTCTCTGTAGAACATGACATGCATCTGGGGCATAAAAAGACTAATTCAAATAGAAATATTTTTATAACAATACCTACAGATAGCAGGCTTGGACTTCTATGGGGGGTAAAGGGTAAAGCACATACCCTTCCTGCCCCAATCCATCAACACCACCCGTGTAGCATAAGCCCCATGTCACAGGGAGGGGAAAAAACTAGATCCCTGCCCCAGCGTAGCATATTCAGGGCTGCATCTTCCCCTCTAGCCTTATCCTCTGGAGTTAATGAGCTGGGCTCAAAGGTGCAGAAAGCTCTTTCCTTCTCATTGGCCTCCCTCCTTTGCTGGAGAGAAAATGCCACTGCCGCACGGGTTGCGACCCAGGAGGCTGCACGGCTGCTTGCAGCAGCGGCACCGAGCTCACACAAGCAGCTTGGAGGAGAGAGTGAAGCAGTAATCCTTAGCTGGCAGTAAGGAGGCCAGGCTGCTGGATAAATAAGGCTAGGAGGGTGGGCAAAACTGCTCGAGGATTGTAGGCTGCAATCTGCCTGAGGATTGTAGCTTTCTGGCCCCTGCTGTTGGAGTCGCGAGCCAGCAATTAACTCCAGGGCTGGGGCAGGTGATGAGCTGGAGGATTTGAGGTCTCCATCATGCCACACAGGTCCTGGCTCAGGGACTGGCCTCGCTGGCTGCTCCTCCCTGTCCCCGCAGCACCTGCCACCAGCATCCTCTGCAAGAGGAGAGGGAAAGGCAAGGAAATGCTTGTGAGTTGGGTTTGAGGGAACTCCAGCTGCAGAACTTGCCATGCACGCAAGCACCCCATGGCAGGAGCTCTGTCCAGCCCCAACAGCATCTTCTCCCCAGTGTGGCAGAAAAGTAGGATCTCACTGCAAGGTGTAAAAGGAAAAAAAACCAACTGGTTTCTTTAAAACCAAGCTGAAAACTCAAAAAGCTGTCTAGGAGAATAGGCTGTATAACCACTGCAGAGGTCCAAATACAGCCCTTCTAGCCTTGACTGCTGCAGAAAGTATAGCATGGCTGGAAAAAAAAATCACACATCCTTGTTAACTTCTCATTTAATGTGCTACATATCTAGTTTCACTCTCATTAATTGAAGCTGACACAGCTCAAAAAACCCAATGAAGCCTTAAATGAGAAAGAACCAGCCTGAGCCAACTAGGACTTGGCACAGTGGAGCACCGCTAGAGAGACACCGGAGACGGGGAGCATGAGTGTGTCAGACCAGAGCTTCAATGTCAAGTTTATCACATTTTGCTAGGCTCTGGCTCTGAACCAGTACTGCCGTGGTCATGAGCAAAGCGAGGCCTGTGACTGCTGCACTTGCTGCTGAGGAAGTTGGGCAAAAACGCCAGGAGGCCTGCATGGATGAAC